GACCTTCTGAAACCTGAAGAACACAATGAACTCAATGAACGTTTTGTCCATTCTTTCTTCAGACAAAGCACTTTCCTTCTAAGCAAGATGCAGATATAACGGCATGACTGTCATTCTCTTCTATCTCTTAATATTTAAAATGATGAAAGAAAGCCTTCATTTGTTATCTGGACTGTATATGAAAGTCAGGAGTAGGGACACAAAAATTCCTGGGCAATGTAAGGCTCAGCCTAAATAAAGGAAAAACAAAAAGCATGGCTTATCTTTTCTAAGCCAGGGCCTGCTCGGCACTGGCCCTGCCAGTGGGACTTTGATTACTGAATTCATTGGAATAGAAAAGCACTTGCACGTAACAGACTCCAGAGACAATAATCGGCCTTAGGGACTTGCATTATTAATATACCGAAATAAATGAGGCAGTTGACAGCCTACAGTTGCTGATCAGGTATATAGCACTGAATGGGATTTCCCCCACATACACACACTTCTTTGCTTTTACACATTTTAGCTTCTAAAAAGAGAGGCTACATTTTGGGGTGCAACTGGTGAATTCCACAGAGGGCAAGGACTGCACAGAGCCTGTATATGTAGATTTCAAATAGAAAGGGAATCCATCTTACATCAGGTCAAAATGAAAGCCAAGAAAGACAGACTTATTCCAAGAAGGGTACCAGTCTGAGTGCTGACTTGAATTGAAGACAGGTCTAGCATCAGAGACACCAGAGAAAAATCTGACCGCATCCCCTTCCTGGAAAGGAAGAGAGTTTAAACTGTAGTGGCTCATAGGCAGCTATGGAAAAGTAGTAAGACCCACTCCACCCTCCAGAGGTGCTTGGAGAAAAGGACACAAGACTCTCCAGTAACTGCATATCCCCTTTTAAGGAAGGAGCTAATACCTTCTCTTCCTGCCTCAGTATGTACAAGCCTAGAGATGTTCCTTGGCCAACTACAAGCCAAGAGTTTTCTCATGCCTTTTCTCCACCCTACTGTCTCCTCTTTTCTAACACACACCTGGAATTCTCCTTTAGCTTGGAGGCATCTCCCAACCCCACCCCACAAGCTGCCCACAACCATGCCTTTTCTCAAGTCACAGAACAGGGCTGTAATAATTTGGATATTCAAGTGGACTATAAATCTGCGGAAAATTTTATGCCGCTTGCTTCCTATCTCTAGTGGCAGCCCAATTTCTTTGGGGAAAGATGCTGCAAATTATTCACTGTGAAATATAAAGCTTGCTTTTCATTTTAATTTTGTTCCATTTCTATCTCTGTATTTCCCTTATACGTATTTTTCCAGCATTATGAGAAAAAAATCTGAGGCACCACGTCAGCCCAGTCCAAGCCAGACATAACATCCTGCATATGCTGCCCAGGGTATTATAAAAAATGCCTTTCATTTCTCTCCCCCCAGCCCTCGTCGCAAGGCCCGTTCCCCTCTGCTGCCCATGAGCCAGCAGCGCTTTCCAGCAGGCTGCACACTGGAATTCCTCAGCTCTTGCATTCCTACAGACACAAGCATAGTTTACTGCTCTCAGAGTAGGATGGACTCAGCAAGTGTATTCTTTCCATCTTCCAAAAAAATAGGGTGGGGCTTAATACTGGCCACAGTTCAATTTTTTCCAGCTTTAAAAGACACCAGCAAACCCTCTTCAAATCCTGTCTAGGCATTGCATCACCAACAATGAAGGCAAGCAGTTCACTGCCATGTACCGCGCCACCAGATAAAAGAATATCAGATAAAGCTCTAATTATGAGATCCCTAAAATTACGCTAAGGATACAAAGGAAAGCAAAGCAGGCCAAATGCTCATTTTATTAGTGCACAGGACTGACAGAGGAAGGAAGCGAGCAGAGTAGCTTCAGAAAGATCTTCAGGATATTGGCACCTTTCAGCACAGGCATCGCAGCCGCACAGGCTCTCTGTTGCCTTTGTGCAGACGACTTGCCGTTCCCGCATTCTTGCCGGCACTGCAGCACTGTTCTGAGCCTCATATTTGAATTAACCAGGCCCAGAGGATAAAACTTTCAAATTAAACACATTCCTACAGGATTTCAGGCTCATTGTGTATGCACCAAGGAAACATAACATCCTAAAAATAATACGTATACAGAAAGAAAGCACATTCTGCAGGCATATTAAAGTGGAATATGAATTATAAGCAAGCTCATGGGAGAAGACGTCAGATTCCATGCAAAAAGGAGCTTTTGTAAATAACATCATTCTTTGTAAGCTATCACAATTATCATCAGCCATTTAATTTCGCTCACTAACAACGCCTCTATCATTGTTGAAATTGTCCGCTTCCCCCCCCGCTGAATTGTAAAGCCCCAGATTTTACAGCATTCAAGCTAACAGCTGTATAGATTACTAATCATCAGCTAGAACTCAACTTATATTCATTTCAGTAGATGTTACTTCATGTTTGCTGTTTAGATATGTATCTCACCAAGTTGCCATTATCAGAGTACAATATTCAGAAAATGTTAAAGCTTTTGGTAAGATTTAATTGGTGGCAATGCTCCAAGTTTGTGTGTACCAAATTGCATTGAAATCTTAACACCGAAGAACTCGTCACATTAAAAATATTCAAATATTATACTGTTGCTCAGTAGTGATTCAGAAAACTTCAGTAAAGGCAACATCTGTTTAGTTTAGAATATTAAAGCAAAAACTTTGGCATTATTTTTGTGGGGTTTAGCCTTTTAGACACAGATTCACAGGGTCCTGCTATTTCAGATTACTAAATATGACAGAATATTTAAAAGCTTTGCACATTAAGCACAATGAAAAATTCAAAATCCCTCACTGGAATTAGTAATTTAGCCCCAAGCTAATCAGAGATGTTATTCCAGTAGAACCAAAGTCTTCCAGTTGGCCTTCAGCTTAATTTCCCTGATTAAAAAAAATTAATACAAGTCAGTTTGCTTTGCTACAGTCCCTTTACAAGCTAGCTGAAGCTGGTACAGAGAAACTACAATCGGAAAAACATATTTTAAGTATCTGAGAAGCACTTATTCCTCTTATCTCTTATATTAACTTACGACTGGCTTTAAACTCGAGTTTGAAATTCATCAGAAGATGGTGAATGGGAAGCTTGTAGTGGTTAGAGCCCTCATTTGAAGAGATAAGGCTCCTACTCCCAGCTCTGTCAAGACAAACTTTCTCTTACAAGTTACCCCTCCAGGAAGAGTAAGTCAGGAGTTCAAGCTTAGGCGCTTATACCAGTGGTCCAATTTTCAGAAGCATCAGACAACTCAGGATACACAATCAAATCCTCAAAAGCCGAGAGTGAAATTCAGATCACTTTTGGTGCTTCAGTCATTTCTCCCTACATTTTAAAGGTATTAAAATGCATCACTATGCACAAGAAAGACTCACATGCTAAGACAAATAACAGTCATTAAGTAAAATAAATAAATGTAATATTATAACATCAATAGGTGAAAAATAGCATAATGCCATTCCCATCAAACATAGCCGACCTTTCCCAAAGGTCACTGTTTCAACCAATCTGTGTTTAAAGGGCTTTATGAGGAGTGTCCTACACTGGATCACAGTTCCTCCATCA